TGGAAGGAACATCCATTTGGGGTTCAAATGTCATGTCAACCCCTTGGTAGCTGTGTGACCCTGGGCAAGTCACTTCACCTGTCTGTGCCTCAGTTTTCCCATCTGTAAAATGGAATAATAGTAACAATTACCACCACAGAGGGCAGCTGTGAGGATAAGTTCAGACAACCTATAGGACAGAGCCTGGCACCCAGCAGGAGAGGTTCTCTCCTCTTGCTTTCACGGTCACTTGGAGGGGTCTGCCCAGCAAATATTGTCTCTAGGGGATCAGATCACCATCCCAGCAGTGCAGAGGCACATCTGGCCCCACCTGGGATGTCACTTCCACTCTGATTACAACAAGGAGGTTTCAGCTGCCTTCTGGAGGTGTGGTTAGTAAGAGACTGTTACGTCACCACAAACTGTTCTTGTTTCCAATCCAACTTTGACACAAAAGGGATTAAGCATTTCACGGAGGTGTTTATTTAGCTAACATATCTTTTGTAACCGTTTACAGGAAAAAGAAAATCAAATATAACTTTGCAAGCTCAGAAATTCCCAGCTGGGCCAAAAATGAGTGTAATGTGAAATGATGTGATTAGGAATTTGGAAAAGAGACTCTTTCCTTTCTAAGACTTGGCTTGGGACTTGATGTGTGTGTGTGTGTGTGCGTGCACATGCACGAGTGGGTGTGTGTGTGCACGTGTTGCTGGGGGGTGGAACGGCAAGACCCCAAAGGAGGGCTGGCCCCAGGAAAGCCACCTCTCTTCCTTGCCTGCAGGGTAGCCTGAGGAGCTGTTCTGGCCAGCCCGAGGGTGAGGGGTGTAAGGATGTGGGGATGGTCACCGCCCCTGACAGATGGAGCCCCCCTCCCCCCTGCGAGGAGGTTACAACTGATGGGCGGAGCCACACTGATATGGGGTGAAACCCCCACACGCAGCTCAGCGGGGGGCTTCAGAGGAAAGGCAGGTGGTGTCTGCCTACCCTGGTCCACACAGCAGGATTTTGTCATTGCTTGAGCTTCATGAAGCCCTCCTGCATGTCTGGGGATGTATTATTACTCATGTGATATTTATCCAACCATCCATCCACCCAATGAATATTTATTAAGTATCTACTGTGTGCCGGGCGCTGTGGTTCCCAGAAGAGACAACCACTGTCCAGAGAGAGAAAGGGTTTTGCCCAAGGTCACCTCATTTCTTAGAGGAGGGTCTGGCACAAAGATCTGTAAGGACAACCACTGAGCAGCGTGGCCCTGGGAGAAGGTGCCTTCTCTCACCTCTCCCGGCCTCAGTTTCCCAGTCTGTAAAAGGAGGTTGTTGCACCTGACCCCCAGAATAAGTTCCAAAAGTTAGGGCAGGTGGTTAGACTCTGCAGTTCTGCCTCTCCCTGAATGTGTGCCTTTGGGCAAGGCGTGTGTCTGGGCCACAGTGTCCTACTCTGTAAGGTGGGCTAATGCCCGCACCTGTCTCACAGATCTTACTATAAAGATGAAGCGGGATGGTGCACTTGCTAAGGAGCTTAGCAGGTGCCTGGCACACAGTAGGTGCTTAATAACTCTCTTTCTCAGCATCTCAAAGAGTGGATTTCCCTCCCGGCCTTTGAGCTAAGGGGAAACCGGCTCACCCATGCGGAGCATGAGCTGTTTGCCGTTGCCTGGGAGGTCAGGGCTGCCCCCACCCCCTGGCCCCTGGCCTCAGCGTCGGCGGGCGGGGAGGCTGCTGCCAATTTGCTGTCTAGGCCTGGCCACCGACTCCTGACAGCTCCCCGGGGACAGGGCAGCCACCTCCAGCTGCTTTCCACCCCCTCCCTCCCGCACATGGCCATTGAGAGTTAACGGCCAAACCGGCCCCTGGGGATGGAGGGGCAGGCGGCCGTGTGGAAGGCTGCATGGGGGCTGGACCCAGGCTGGACCAGCCGCCCGAGTGGTCCTTGGAGTGGTTCTCTGGAGACATGGGAGGGCAAAGGAGAAGCCCATAAACTTCCCCTGGGCTATTATTTGGGGAGAAAAATCAGTGCTTGGAAGGGGCGGGGGAGGCCCTGCATAACCGTAAGAGCTCCCCCCTCCTCCACGAGAAAGTGCTCTGTCCCAGGCCCGGCTCAGCGCCTTTTCTAGATGGAGCCACAGAATCCTCCCAGCCGCCTGCGAATCGGGTTCTCTCCTTGCTCCATTTCACAGATGAAGAAACTGAGGCACAGAGAGGGGCGAGGACTTGTCCAGGGTCACACAGCTGTAAGGGGGTGGAGCAACTTGTTCTGTCCCAGCACCTGTGCTCTTCACCAGTGGGGTGCCGGGGTGGTGGCCACGATACCCTCTGGATGCGACAGCCTCAGGTTCAAGTCCCCGCTTTACCCATAACTAGCTGCGTCATCTTGTTAAGCCATTTAATCTGGCTGAGCCTCGGTTTCCTTATCTGACAAATGGGCACAAGAGTGCTACTCTCAGGGGATGGTTACGGCACGGGACAGACAAGCAGTAAAGGGTTAAGAAACCACCAGCTGCTATTATCATCATCATCATTATTATTATTATTTTGTTATTCTGCCTTCTGGATATGCTAGCTGTTTAACACAAGCAACAGCCCTGAATCCGTGCCAATAGGAAAGGTTTGTGCCAGGCCAGGTGCCCGGGCAACACTGGATCCAGTGCTGATGCAGGTCTACTTCTCCTCCCTGTGCCCTGCCCCACCCCTGCCGGCTGGTCAGTGAGCTGGGTGGGCATTGCCAGGCCCCTGAGGATGCTCCCTGCCTGCCTTGCCCTTGCTTCTGGAAAGAGGCAGCTGCTGAAGGCCCCAGACAGTTTGTGAGCTGGGCTGGCCAACACGCGTCGGGCCGAGACCCCAGGGCATGGGGCTAGCGGGAGCCCCTGTTGGGCAGTAAGGCTGTATATGGGCATCTGGATTCAGGGCTTCCCCCCACCACGATCCTCCACATCCTACCCCCAAAGCCCTGCATTGCAGAAGGTCCGCTCTTGCAGAAAGCTGGACTCGTGCATGTAACTAAGTAAGAACAACAGCAACTAGTGGTTCTGCGTCTCCTGCTCTTCAAGCTTTATTGACTTAGTCCTCTGAGCAACCACACGGGGAGGGGCTCTCATTGTGCCCATTTTAAAGATCAGGAAACCGAGGCAAGTCACGTGACCTGTCCAAAGCTGGACTTTGAACCTGCATACACGGACTCCAGAGCAGCCGCCCTAACCACATGACGCCCTGCCTCTGGTGCTCTAATGGGGTGCCTTAGGCAACAATAAGAATCTTTGGTTTTGGGCTCTTCCAGCTGGCCCAGCTCTCTCACAGGCTTCCAGCTGGGAGGGCAGAAGGACATTCACTCTGGATACATTGAGTGCCTGCTGGGTGCCGGATACTGTTGTAGATATTGCATCTGACCCTTGCGAGGCAGCTTTTATTCCCCCCACTGTACAGAGAAGGTTCGGAGGGGAAAGTGCCCAGGATCATGCACTTGGCAAGTGGTAGAATCAGAAATTCTTATTTCATCTTTATAACAACTCCATGCAGCGGGCACAATTTCTATCCCCATTTTTTGGATGAGTAAACTGAGGCTCAGAGAACTTCACATGGCCATAGTAGCTGGGATTATACCTGACTCCAAAGCCTAAAATCCTCACCCTTATGCCGCCCCCCACTCCACTTGCCATGATGTAAACCCTTTCAGCACTGGAAGGAAGCCCGGAGGTCTCCGGTGGTGTGATCTTGGGAAAAGCCTCTTTGAGCCTCAGTTTCCCACCTCTACAATGGGGCTCCTCAGAGCAGCCTCCCAGGCTGAGGTGAGTGATGGGGAGAGGGAGGGTGGCATACAGTAGGTGCTTACAAACTGCCACATGCCCGGCCCACATGTGGTGTCCCTGCTCCACACACACAGGCTCTCGGCAAATATCTGTTTGAATCTGTAGCCTCGTTGGGCTCTCAGAAGGCAGCCTCCAGGCCGACAGCCCTAGGGAAGCTGGCTCCTCTAATTGGGGGCTGCGGTCTGCCCCAGAAGGCACCGCTGCTGAGTGGCGGTGGCCCCGGGGGGCCAGACAGCCCCTGGGTAAACATGGCTGATCCGAGGTGACAGCCTGCTCTTCTCAGGCCAGCCCCCGTCTGTCCGCACTCCGTAATCTGGGCTGTGCACCCTCGACTCATGGACACGGTCCTTGCCTTGGGGGTGGGGCCCTGGGAACCAGGTCAGACCTCCCTGACTCAATGGAGAGAGGCTGGGAGGGGACTCCATGTCTGTCCTTTTTCTTTTCCTCTCTCCTGTTTGCTGTGTGACCTTGGACAAGCCCTTTCTCCTTTCTTGGCCTCAGTTTCCCCATCTGTAAAAGAAGGAGACTGGACTAGTTGACTCCCTAGGGGCCTTTCCAGCTCTGAGGTTTGAAGACAAAAACATGAAGGGCTCTCCCCACCCCCAACTCACTTGTATTTCATTTCATCCTGTCTCAAGAAATAATTTATTTTGGCCTCAGTCTCCATCTAATTTATTCTTCAAACACGTGAGACCTAGAAGAGACTTTAAGATCATCTAATTCAACAGCATCATTTAACTGATGGGGAAATGAGGCCCAGAGAAGGCAAGGGACTTGCTGAAAGTCACACAGCCAGGCTAAGAACTCAGGAGTTCTAACTCATAAATTTTCCAACATCCAAGAAGAATGGAAGCCAATTCTCCCCCAGAAAGCTTTTGGGGGGGCATTTCCTGGACCCCCATTAGGGCCACTGGAGAGGAAGCAATGGCCGCTATTGTCATCTTCACATTCACCAGGACGCCCAGTCGCTAACGCAGGAGGGGACCTCTCTTGGAGGGGACAAAAGATGGGAGGCATTTAGTGGTCCCACTGTCCAGGCCTCAAGTCCCCCATACCCTCAGAGAGACCAACTTTGAAATCAAGACCTTCTAGCTTTCCTGCAAAATCACAGAATTTAATTTAACAATAGCCCCGGGGCAGCTTCAGAAACCATAAACAGCACATAAACACTTTAAACGATTAAAAAATACACGGTTTGTTATTGCTGAACCCTCACCTGTATTCCTGTGGGGAGAGGTGGTGGTTTTGCCCTGAGTTGCGGATAATTCCTGACATCGTGGATGGGATGTCACTTTCTATCATCTCCTTGGGGAAAAGAGAAGCAGAAAACAAAGCTACCATCAGCCACGATGGGCAGGACAGAAACCCACCATTTTCCCACAATTCACAAGGATGGAGCTCAAACAACTAACAACACTTTTTTTAAAAAGAGAAAAAGAAAAAAAAAAAAGTACTAGAGGATTCCTGGGCGTCACAGGTCACTTTCCCAGGGCAATTCTACAGAGTTTTAGAAGCAAATAAAGAGAATGGAATGAAATTCCAGGTTCTTTCGAATTAATGAGGGAAGAGCAGAGGAAGACTCTAGAATCCAAATGTCAACTCCTGGAAAATGTGGACTCGCAAAATGGGAATCAGAAAAACCGGATTTCCTTCCAAGCCTTATCGCTTCAACCGCAGCTCAGTTATGATCACTTTGAAAATAAAAAATAAACAAAAAAGGATGGCTTGACGTGTCATGGATGTTTCTCTGGGGAGAGCCAAATTCCCACTTGCAAAGGGAATAATCCCCGCAGGGCTCCCGCCCTAGAAATGCCTTCAGAAATGCCACATGCCCTTGCTGGAAAACCAATCCAACCCCCTACCCCACCCCCGCCACATACAAACAGCCTTAAAAAAAAAAAAAAACTTCCCTAAGTTTCTCAAACTCCAAGCCTGAAATGAACACACAAACCCACCAAAGACGCTCAGATCCGCCCCCAAAGTCATGCAAGGATTCCTGAGAAGGAGAAAAGGGGAGCAGAGCGAGGCAGCCCCCGCAGCCCCTGCCCCGGGTCTCCACCCTGGAAATGCAATGCAGGGCGCTGCCCGGCCGGAGGGAGCAAAGCCGACCCTGCAAGGCGGTACCTGGAGCCGATCCTCGCCGGCCGCCGCTGCAGGCGCTCCTGGGGCGGGCGGGGGTGTCGGAGGGGGGCTCCCTCGCGCTCGCCCCTCGCGTTCCGCAATTTGGCCGCCGTCGCAGCTCGAACCGTTTTTAAATTTCCCTCTCTGGAGCTGTCCAGCTCAGAGCATGCGCAGTAGCCGTGCGGGGGGCTTTTCCCCAAGGGTCAGTTACAGGGCAGGGTCAAGGGGATTGCACGGGCGTTTCCCAGCAGCCGCGAGCCTTGCACGCCCCGGAGCTCCGGGTGGGGTGGGGTGGGGCGCAGGGCTAGGGACACCCCTCTTCCAACTTTGCCAACAGTGGCAGCCGCTGAATGCCCGCGAGCATGCGTTGAGGAGCAGTGGGAGGGTGATTTGGGCCAAAAGAATTAAGTTGCGAAAGGATGCTGGGTGCGTTAAAACTTGCAATCCGTCACTGCCCAAGGGAAAAGGAGGTGGGTGGGCGCAGAGAGCTGTTGCAATCCCCTCCGTCCCCCAAAGTGGGGACGGGCCAGGAGGCCGAGCCGGGGCCCCAGGTAGACGCGGATTCCGGCCACCTGTCCCTTTAAGAGAGTTGCGCCCGCGCGGGCTGGCGGCGGGAGGGGGCTGCGGGGCCCCGAGCGCTCGTCCGGCGCCTCCACCTGCCGGGGCCG